TACAAATAACTACAAATAAAAAAATGAATTACCATTCGACGGATCGTTAAATAGTTGTAGTAGAGTTTATCTTAGATGAATGAAGCTGGTACTACTTTAAACCTTGAGATCTATTTACTATTTCCAAATATACAATAGCATTGCTTACATTTTATAGATGGACTTACTAATGGGTCATCTATTCACGAAGTACATTCGAAGGTGGGGTTCCAAAAATTCAACTTTCGTGGTCTTCTTCTTCTTCTTCTAAATATCAATTTAATTTTTTTTATGTTATAAATAGATAACCCCTATGTGTTGACTAGCATTTGTTTTGCTTATTTAAACTTACCTTTGTCGTTCATACTTTTTTTTTACATTAAACTGTGGAGTGTTAAGGCGGTCTGTATTTTTCCTTTGACGCTTTCTTTAATGATAAGGAAATCAACATACCGCCACAAAAAAATGGGACATTATTGTCACATTATAGTTGTAAAAACTCCCTTTACATACAATTATGAATGCGTGTATATTCTAACCCCTTGAACCCCAACCCTAACATATTATTTCTACCCCATTTCACCGACGCCGCTGTCGACTCTCCGTCTAAAAATACAAAAGTATTGATATTATCATCATTGCCAATTTTAACGAAATAATGCATTTAAAAAAATAATACAAATTCACCTTATTAGGAGCGGCAGTCATGCATGGAGGAGATCTTTGTGGGCTCTTTTTCAATACGACAGGCGTACGTTAGGGACATTGAGTGGTAGGGGGAGGGGGGGGGGGGTTCGCAATGCATGATGGGTTACTTATTCATCGTTCTGCGTGAGTGCGCGGCGTCGGAGTTCAAAGCTTACGGCTGATTGCACGTGCGAGATGGAGCGATAGGCTGCTCATTGGTTGTATGCTGCAGTTTTTGTCAGTATGCTTCAGTGTGTAGTCAGTATGCTTCAGTTTGTAGTCAGTATGCTTCAGTTTGTTGTCAGTATGCTTCAGTGTGTAGTCAGTATGCTTCAGTTTGTAGTCAGTATGCTTCAGTGTGTTGTCAGTATGCTTCAGTTTGTGTGTGCTTCGGACTGGGCGCTTTGGTGTATGATTTATCTTCTGTGAAACAGTCAGTATACTTCAGTGTATACTTTGTCTTGGGTGATTCAGTCAGTATGTTTCAGTGTATGCTTTAGCTTGTGTATTTTATGCCACTATGCTTCAGTGATTACATTGGATGCATAAGTTCTAAATGCCAATTCCCCCTCACCATCTGGTTTTGAAACTGGTATACTAATACATAAGGGTACATCATGGATTCTATGTGACTGAATATTAACGTGGCACAGTGGGCATGCTAGTGTGATACATAGAGCTAGGCTGATACACTGAACAGTGGTTTCAACACAGACTGTTGATAATAGTAACGTTAAACACGACCGTGTTGTGATGAGGATTTTATCCTGGATCGGGGTTAGGGTCAGGATCAGTGTTTCTTCCAGACTTTTTTCTCCTGGAGGGGGGGGGGGACACTTGGAATTTTTAGGGGGTGTAGACTTTCTTCGTGGGGGGGGGGGGCAGACACTGTTAAAAGTATATATTTTCTATATAAATTATATTATAAATTTCATTTCGTTCGGGGGGCGGCAGAATTTTTTCCGGGTGGGGGAGGGGGGGGCGCGAAGAGATGCCTGGAAGAAACTCTGGTCAGGATTAAGGTATGGGTCAGTGCAAGAAGCAGGATTATATTTAGATTCAGGGCCGGTTCAGGACTAGGGTCGAGGTCAGAATAAGGTTTAGGGTCAGTGCTGGGGTTAGGGTAAGGTCCAGGGTTTAGGGCACTTGAATTCATGGTCATGGCTAGGCTTTAGATCAGGGCTATGGTTCGGGTCAAGGTTAGGGTTCGAGTCCGGACTAATGTTCGAGTTAGAGCTTTGGTTCGGTCCAGTGCTATGGTTCGGGTAAGGGCTTGGTTCGGGTCAGGGCTAATGTTCGGTTCAAGGCTATGGTTCGGGTCAGAGTTAATGTTCGGGTCAGGGCTAATGTTCGGGTCAGAGCTAGGGTTCGGGTCAGAGTTAATGTTCGGGTCAGGGCTAATGTTCGGTTCACGGCTATAGTTCGGGTCAGGGCAAATGATCGGGTCAGGGATAGATTTCAGGTCAGGACTGGGTTTATAGCAAGGGCTAAGTTTAGGGTCAGGGCTATGTTCAGTGTTATGGTAGAAACAAAATGGTTTAAACACGCCCTGTTGATGTTTATATGCCGAGTACTTACCTAGACCCATTTGATATTTGGAACTTGAACTCTTTAAAATAGATTCTAGACATTAGTACAGTGCTAGTAGAATGGAGAGAGAAATCAGAGTCAAAAGTTGGTTGGTTTTATACATCAGCTGACCATTATATGGAGTCCAGGGCCGAGTTGTGGAAAAAATGAATGTGGATTATTGAGCGGGGAGGGGAAGGGGGTGTGAGCCCCAAGGGGATAGTTGGGTCCACGCGACTTGGGTACACACTGGGGACCGTGGGGTTAGAAATAGTAACATAGTGATCACGTGGGGGGTATTGGTACTCTTTCTCCTCCCACTAACGTCACGTGGGTTATTGGTTAGCTGCATGCTCCTCCCTTGAGATGCTTCTTAGAATGAACTTTTCCGTTATAAGGGGTCAGTCTGTCATAGCTCGTTGCTATGAGGGGGGGGGGGGGCAACATTTTACAGTGGTTGGGGGGACGGGGAGTATTAGATGTGTGTTTTGCACATGTTAGGGTTAGGGCTTGGTTGATATTAAGTCTTTGGGTGATAGGATTAAAGTTATGGCTTGATTTAGTTCAGAATCAAGTAGTAAACGTCTTGGGATGATCCCCCAAAATGGGTTTCTTTCAGACATATTTCTCCGGGTAGGGGAGCAGGGTGCTCTTAAAACTCCCGGGGTGGGAGCAATTAACATTATCCGGGCGCGGACACTGGTTTAAGTATATATTTTTATATAAAAATTATATATTTATCATATTTCTTCCGGGGGGGGGGGGGGGAAGGGGGTGGTTTGAACGGGCCCCGAGGTTGAGGGATCAGTGCCCCCCTCCCCGGAGTAATCCAGGAAATTCTGCTCCCAAAAAATATATTTGCAAATACTTTCATGTTAAAATAATGCATAAGTTATACAATAGCGTATGTGTCATAATTTGTTGTTAAAACCAAACGTATTTAAGAATTTCCTGATTGTCTCATTATTGTTTCATAATTGGATTATCATGGGTTCCAGATAAGGTACCACTGTAGAAGATGATAAAATGACCTTAGCTTAAAAGCTAACAAAGATAACAAAGCTCCGATTTGTAGTTATTTGTTGACGGAAATACAGGAATTGTGTTGTCTTCTAGGATGTCCGTCGGTAGGAAAATTGACAAAGAACAATTCCGTTGATATAGAAATGTATATGTTTTTGTTTTTACTTTCTCGTATATACGTAGTATAGAGAAAGTATTGTAATCGTGCAAAAAAAAAAATCGAGATTTTTTTTTTTAGGGGAGATCACTCCCGGTTTATTTTAATGATCTGGCTTTAAACAAGTACACATTCTCTCTAAACACGAGTACCCATAACTTAGCAACCAACTCTCCGCTAACAAAGCTAACAAAGCTCCGAATTGTAGTTATTTGTTGACGGAAATACGAGAATTGTATTGTCTTCTAGGATGTCCGTCCGTATGAAAATTGACAAAGAACAATTCCGTTGATATAGAAATACGAATGTTGTTTTAATCCATATCAATAGAGAAAAAAAAAACAAGTACACTTTCTCTCTAAACTTGAGTAACCATAACTTAGCAATCAACTCTCCGCACGTGTCGTACGAAACCTGGTGGTTGTGCGACTTGGTGAGCAATTAACCACTCGAAAGTCCCCGGGTTGGGATCCCACGAAAACTCCGGTACTCTAATATTGTTGAGTTATAGATTCGCCTGAATGATTCTCCAATAATGCACACGTGTCATATTAATTTGCGCATACAATTTTCGAACTTGCGATTAGTATTTTAATAACGTAATTGAAATTGTAATTTTTAAATTAAATAAATTGGACAATCTTTAAAATAAAATTTGATGAATTTTAGCAAAAAAAAAAAATTTTTTTTTTTTAATATTTGCGAAATTTTACACAAAGAAGTTTTTTCCTGTAAAATTAATTCATTATTCGTTACACATTAGTTATTTCTTCAGTCATGCGTATCTTAAGGGTTATTTTATTTTATAACAAAGGTAGACGGTGGTGTATTCTACGACCTTCATTGAAAAATATTCACCGCGTCGTCGCAATAATTCTCATTGTTATCGCCCTCGCCCCGACCCTCGGTAAGTCAAGCTTTTTTTTTCCCCAATCCCAAACAACGCTCCCCGCCATTGTTATCGTCACGTGATCGGGAACCCCGGTCTATTTTTAAACCCCGTGGAGCGATTTTTCTCCCACGGCGCGACGGCGAGTGTTGAGAGAGTGACAGACCCACACCGGCGGAGGAGGAGAGAGCGAGGGTGGCTGTGATGTTGTGTTGCTGTCGTCTGCAACGAGTCAAATACGCGGTGCCTCTGAGATAGGCTGGTGAAACGGATAAGACATGCCTTCGTTCGGTTGCTGTGTTGTGATGTTCAATTAAAAACAAACCAAAACTAATTTGTTTTTAAAGGATTTATTTATATATTTTTTCTTCTTCACCTGTTTGGATTATTTTCAAGACTTGAAACCGCGAATTTATTTCTTCTCTGTGTGGATAGTATCATCGGAAAGGCTCAGCCCTCTTAGCTGTCAATCAGTTATACCTGTGTGAGCGTTTACTGTTTATTTACATCGAAGGTGTGTGTGTGTGTTTATTACGAGGAAAACTCGGTATTTCTCTTTGGTGGCGAAATTCGCTCAATATTTCTAAGTTTTAATCTACACAGTGTGCTTGATATTAGTTTTGTGTTTACTAAAAGACTGTTATATTTAACTAGACTGGAATTCTGTTGGCCTATTAATTGTGTTAATTGTAAAGTGCTAGGTTAATTATTACGATTAGTAAAAATTATCAGTGAATCCATTTAGCCCATACTTTACTCAAACAAGTCAAAATCAGATGGATGTGTTTGTTCTTTAAAGAACACTTTGGTTTGATGAGCATAGATACTTGAATGTAATAATAAGTATAGCCTACTTTAAATTAATATTCATTTTAAAAAAATAGATTAACACGTGTATTCGTTTATCTGGATTATAGTGGATAACGTGGATTATTTAATTTCAAATTGAGTAAACCAGATTTACAATAACAGGTAATAGAAGTTTAATTTAATTAATTAATATAGAGTCTAGTTCTAGCATTGTTGTAGATCTCTAGGCTTATAGATCTAGATCTAGATCTACTTCAGTCGTGTAAACAAAATATCGCGTGTGGATTTTAATATTCTAATCTAGATCTGTAACTAGTTTGATTTTGAGCTTAAAAATGGACTAGACTAGGTTTTATTAAAGCATATTTGTATTTAGTCTAATATATAAATATATTTTTATTAGCCTTTATTTTAATATTTTTACTAGATCTAGATCTATATAAACTTGCAGTCCTACTGAATTGAAACAGAAAAGTTGACACGAAAATACAGTACATCTATAAATATACGATTCTTATTTATATTAATTGAACGATTACGCTGTGTCGTACGACATTTCTGGAATTTAAAAAAAGTCTCGGATTCTGCAATCAGGAATTGACCCCCCCTCGCTGTGTGCACGGAGTAATCCGTATCTTAATTCTTCGTACCTTGCCCCCTTCATAGAGCGAAGGGCGGAACGTAATGGTTGGGAATTCTTACTCGTATTCTGTTCTTCTGGGAAGAATGTGTTGGGCGGTGCATTACCTGCTTTTACTGTTGCCCACGGCGCTTTCCTATGTGGACAGTGGTCGCCCACTTCCCCCTGTCTATTGGAACACTAGTAATTCACTGTGAGTACTCATTTTTAACTACTTATATCACTCCTCCGTTAGCCGTACCCTATTGGCAGTTTCATACTCCCGGTGAAATGGTTATGTAAATAATATAAATGGTTTATAAATTGTAACGATATCGATATAATATAATCATATGTAAATTGTAATGATATAATATAATCATCTATAAATTTTAATGATATAATATAATCATCTGTAAATGTTACGATAATATATATTCGTCTGTAAATTTTAACGATATAATATAATCTTCTGTAAATTAAAACGATATAATATAATCGTCTGTAAATTAGTACAAGGTTGTGGTTACGATAAGAATTAGAATATAAATTTAATTACGAGGGTACTGCTAACGGAAAAGAACACAACATCACCATCCTACCCCACCCCACACACCCTACCCCCACCTCTCACACAGGTAAATAAACACTCGTTCAGGCCACCTTATTACACATCAAATTTTACTGTATCTCCAACCTCTCTGATTCATTCATCGCGAGAGGGCAAACCTGTTCCCTCGCATTCCTCCCCCAGCCCCGGGTGACCCAGATACCCACCTATCCGGAACAATTGAAAGAGTTATCAAAGCAAATATTTGAACTATTCTAACCGAGTGGATTTAAGAGTTGAAATTTTTAGTTCAATATTGTATCGTGTAATATTTACTTTAGAAAACGTGTCTATGTATAGTAGATTATATTCTCGTCAGAACTATCAAAAAAATGTTTCGTTGGTGCTGTAATTTTATCCGTACCCCACCCTGTCTCCGGTTAGATTCGTGGTACGCCTAATATTTATTCAGCTTTTTTTGTGTTAGATCTCGTGTTCGCTGTTAGATAAACGCGAAATTAAATTATGGTTGTGCATTTTCGTAATATGTTACAAATGTGATAGTGCTATTTTAATTACACTACGAGTAAACTTATAAATAAGAAACGCAATTTGAAGAATTGTAACTTAACTCAGTACGCATAACCTCATAGCCTTATATCCAATGAGTTATTTTTTTATTTTATTTTTTTACTATTCTCGACATTTAGGCCTATATTTAGTAGTGTACAATTAAATAATCATCGTAATTTGGTATTTAATTAAATAGACTACATTTGAATGATTAATTTCATTTATTAATTTATTTATTTTTTGTTTGCTGTTTTTTTTTTATCTTACGTCTATTTATATCTTGGGTTTTCCCCATTATATTCAAATTTTAATACATAGAGATCTAAATCATTGCTGACCTCACTTCTATTTTGTTGCCTGATCCCCATCAAAATACAAAATTACTGCCTTCAAAATGTAGTCCCACGTCTCCATCAACATACCTAAGCCTATACACCATTCATCATCTTGATACGTTCAACTCCCAAAACTTTTAATTCATCTTCCACATCATTCGTCTTCTCTTCTGCTCCGGCCTCACCTTAAGTCCTGTCGTCTGTCTGCGTGTGACGTACATTCATCATCTTATAACTTCAAAGTATGACCGTTACCAGACGAGTCTATTTTTAGCCCAGTCGGCGGGTACGTGTCAATTTTCGAGACGTCTAGACAGCGTCCCCAGATGCTATTGTTTTGTACGGTTTCATATTCTATAGTCTGTTGTTTTTAATTTTTATAGTACTAGTAAACGTCGTGTAGTAGTACTGAACCAGGTGTTTCTTTGGCATTCGTGTTTTGCTTTTGTTTTGTGTTGGGTTTTTAATACAATTTATATATTGGTCTAAAATTGTGTAGTAGTACTAAACTAGGCGCCTTTAGCATAATGTTTTGTTTTGGGTGTTGTTTTTTTTTTAAATAAAATTTATATATTAGTCGTAAAATTGTGTAGTAGTACTAAACTAGGCGCCTTTAGCATAATGTTTTGTTTTGGGTGGGGTTTTTTTTTTAAATATAATTTATATATTAGTCGTAAAATTGTGTAGTAGAACTGAACTAGGAGCCCTTAGCATATTGTTTTGTTTTGGGTGGGTTTTTTATACAATTTATATATTAGTTGTAAAATTGTGTAGTAGTAGTACTGAACTAGGAGCCTCTAATAATAAGTGTTTTGTTTTTGTTTAGGGTTAGTTTTGTTGAACTTGTAAAAGAAAACTCAAGCGGGTTATATCGAAGCTGTTTCTGAAAACATAATACCCTAACTAAAAACCCACTCAATTGTACTATAATTCTAATAGTAAATTAGCCATTAGTGCGTTAGATTTAGGATTTAGGCAATGGTTATTGTTAAGGCAATATGGTATAGCTCGACTGATCGCCATATTCGCCTGTCTGGTAGATACCTCTACATAAGTTCGCCATATTCGCCTGTCTAATAGATACCCGTACATAAGTTCGCCATATTCGCCTGTCTGGTAGATACCCGTACATAAGTTCGCCATATTCGCCTGTCTGGTAGATACCCGTACATAAGTTCGCCATATTCGCCTGTCTAATAGATACCCGTACATAAGTTCGCCATTCGCCTGTCTAATAGATACCCGTACATAAGTTCGCCATATTCGCCTGTCTAATAGATACCCGTACATAAGTTCGCCATATTCGCCTGTCCGGCTGGTTACCGCGCAAGTGTTCGCCACGTTCTCTTGACCGACAGACGTACACCTCCGCGCCACGCTCCCCCGTCCGATCTCTCTGTTTTGTTATCCCACCCACTGTTATCAGGGGCAATAAACACAATCCCGCCTGCCCTTTGACCAGACGTTTGTCTTGACCGAAAACGAATTACTTCCCCTATCGTAGTTAAGCAAACAGCACTACATTCCGCAGTCCGAGCGGCCCACGAGTAATTAAATGCAGTAGATTTATTTCGCGCTGCATCTCCAACTCTAAGAGACAAAACTAAACAAATTTTTCAAGACTTCACACCAGACCACATACGCATTATTTATACGTACATACACAATACACATATATAGTGTGACAACTCTCATAATGTTAGATTTAGTACACACTGCTAGCAATTTAAAAAAGTAGTGTACTTAACTTGGCAAGTCGGCCCATTTCATCATTTAATAATTAATTTATCATCGCAAAATTTTAGAATTCTTTCTAAATTTATAAATAAGTAACAGTATGTTATAAAAATGCCCCCATAAAGTTTATCTCATTACACTGAATTTCGCGTAAAATTTCCCTAGTAATTTAACTTAGCCTACTATGAAAAAAACTCAACCATGCAAATAGCTTTTCACCAGGGGACGTTAACTCCGCGTAATACTTAGTGAGTGTCATGTTATTGAAATAACGTTGCAATATTATTGATTTACAATTCAACACTAGGAAATTGGCGCTATCCTACATAGCATAAATAGCGTCTGTGAACTACACGACCCTGTCAAATCTTGCTTGTATTATGACGAATTGGAATCATGTCGGCTATTGTGAGAAGGAAATTTGATTTGTTCCTATGTTTTATAATCAGTTTATCTGAATATAAATATTTGATTTTTTTTAAATGTATACATTCATACACTCCTTCGCACTCAAATATTAATGTGATTACGAATCGTAATCAAAATAACGGCCTTCTCGATCTGGGAGGTATCCGATTAAAAACTAAATAATAAATAAGTTCCGTACTTTCGGTTTGTGCGGGAAAATCCAATTTCCTTTCTTTTTTTTTCCTGTTTGGTAAATACGTTTTTAATAAATGACGAAACTATTCCTAAGGGTCAAACCTCAAAGACGAAATTTGAGAGTAGAAACAAATACTAAGACAGAGAAGGGGGAAAGAAAGACAGACATAGGTTTATTCTATGGTATTATAAAGAGAGCGTTTGCACTGTTAAAAGCCAAATTAAAAAATAAAGAAGAATAAAAATTTTGTTGCCAGATAACCCAAGACAATTTGTCTTACGACTGGTTTCAAAACGAGACGGTATGGGGGCGGAGAAGGGGGGGGGGGGGCGGCGTCACCGTGGGCATTCTTCCAAGCTTTGTCCGAAGTGAAAAATCTGGAATTGATGGGGAAGGGAGAGGGGGAGGGGGTCAAGACAATGTGTTTTCGGAATTTTATCGATTACCCTTTGGTGACACGACCCGGCATAACACAGGGCTATATGGTGGCGTCGGTGCCATTTTAGTTTCTCGACTAGCATGTACTGTAAGAGCTATTTTTATCCACGTGAATATACAGTGGTTTATTATTGTGTTTTTACTTGTGATTGTGTTAATTAGCTTAACCTAATAACGTTCGTGTTTTTCTTTTCGCGTTTACTTTATTAAAATGTAAATTAGAATTTAAATTAAACATTTTTTTTTCCAAAGTTTAGAAGAATTAGCAATTAAATGAAAAAAAAAATCGAAACAGATGGCGTCGGTTTTATTAGTTTTTAAATTTGTATTTAACATTTCTATAGTATGTTTATTTTTTCAGTCCACTAGATTGTATTTCTCAATACTTCTAATTTTTTAAAGCAACTTAATGTTTACATTTACTTGTGTGTTGTGAGTAAACTTGCTTAACACTGTTCTCTATAAATACTCATGGAATAAACAGGACGAACAAAATTCAAATCAAAACAAGTCTTATACACTATTTATAATCCGTCAACATTCCCTCTGACGAACAAAGGTTTGCCTACGACATGTAGATCTATTTTGATGTCGCGCTGATAAAAAGTTTGTTGTATTTTATTTATAAAAAGACTGGTTTACAACTACTGCGCGTCCGCACAGGTTTTACGGAAAACTGGAGTCCCTTAGAACCTATCTAAACACAGCGAGAACCCGCTACTTAACTTGACCATCAAGAGACCCTTCCACCCCCACCCCCCTACACCCACCCGTCATTGTTCCGCTAAGGAAACCTTATCGAATAAAATCGCCTGAACAGATCGAGGAGAAATGCGACGACAAGAAGAAAGAAAAAAAGCCCCCGCTTACAAGATACGTAAGAAATTAAGTTTTCTACCTGTCAATCAAGCCAGGGAAGTGACGACTGTTGAAACCGGAGTACATGCCAGCTTGGCTTGTTTGTCAATTTGCCTTGG